AAAAAAAAAAAAGAAAAAAAAAAAAGAGTGAAGTCACCTGCAAAATATTAGAAGCTCAGTTCGTAAGTCCAAATCATTGGTCTCTCTTAATCACCTCAGGAACAAAGGCATCGTTCCTTAATTATTTCTTTTCCCGAAATTAAAACTATTAAAAAACCTCAACAATAGCATAAATACTACTCAGCAGCTGAGCCGATGTGCCTTCTCACGGCAAGCGGCCCATTACCAAACTGGGCCTTATCCTTGCACCCGTCAAGAACAGCCGACAGCTGGTAGGGTGGGGCATCTGTGGCCAGCCACTGGTCCACGTAAAAGATGGATTGGCTGCAGCCCTTGTGGGGCCCAGTGGACGTCACCTCAATGAAATCACAGAACCAGCCCGGGTGGGGACCCGACCCATCCGAAGTCACGTTGAGCCTGCAAATTGGCGCCCCTATGCATGGGCCTCGCCCCGTGAATATATCGAGGTTGGCCCTTTCGAAGTAGTCGTGTTTACGGCCCATTAGGCCCCAGTCCTTGAGATTCTGGATCCAAACCGATTGCCCTTTGGAATCGCCCAATGTGAGGGTGATGTTGGAGTCCGTTCCGGCTTTTATGATCGATCCGGTTTGGACGTAAAGCGTGTACACACATTCGCTCTGGATTTTATTTTTTTTTTTAACAGAAAGGAACAAATAAAATGTATTTATTTATTTATTTTCACTCTTTTTGCCACAATGAAAACAACAAATATAATGTTCGCTAGCTATTTAATTAGTTAATGGCATAGTTTTCCAACCCGGACCAGCTCGACGGGTCGACCCGGAGCTAGAACCGGTCTAGGTAGGCTAATCATACCGGGCAATAAAAGATCCGGTCAAAACCCGGTCGACCCGAGCATTGACTCGGCTGGGTAAACCTGGTCGATTCTAGAGCCGGGCTTAAAAACTATGGTTAGTGGACGTATTCTGCAATCACGAAAAGCTACTGGACACAATCACTATATTATTCCCTTAATTACTGCACATATTTTTGCAATTTTACTTTTCTTGTTTCTTTTTCAAGATGCCTCTGATGTAGATCCATATGATCCAAAGTGAAAGCATAACACAAGAACCTCAAAACAATTACAAATCACAAGTAGCCACATTTATGCAAGATCTTATTGTACAATAGAGATCTAATTGGAAATGTAAGATAACACACACACACACACACACAGAGACACACACACACACAGACACACACACACAGAGAGAAGTGTTAAGGAGTACTTACAGAAGAGGAAGCTGAGACAGAGAGAAGAAAAGCAGATAATAGAGGTAGAGAGAGAAAGTAGCAGGGGCTCGCCATTTTTGATCTGCAAACAACAACAGCTAAATGCTAATTAAATATAATGTCACATGATACACTACTATGAGGCGTGGTTGGTTATTGTGAAGAATATATTTTTTTTTTTTTGGTACAAATTGTGAAGAATATATTAATAACACTTGCATGCACCTAACACAGGACCAGTTTGATTTATTCTGTTATTTTATATATATATATATACTTGGATGATATATAGTTGTCTTCCATTTGGGTCATCCACGTATGAGGCTATTTAGGGAAATTAACATTTTGGTTATAGTGTGTGAGTAATCCAGTTTGGCTCGCACATTGATATGATCAAACTTACCCTTTTCACTCGAATTTAGCTCGATCAGCTAAGGATTCTTCGTCGTGCTCCTGCTACACCGCAGCTGCCACCACTACCACCACCGGCGACGGCTCACGGACGTTTCCTCCGCATGCTGCAGATCAATCGATCGATTGTGTATTTTGGAGGGAAAATCCGATTGTGAGAGTTCGATGTTAATTGGGCGGGGAGAATAATTGACAAGGCGAGAATGATCCGCCGAACCTCCAACGCATTTGTGAGATAGGTTCCCTAGTTTACCCTTACAAATGAGCCATAGTGACCGGAAATTGGTTAATTGCATTTGCGACGTTATATGGGAAAAGTGTCACGGAAAAAAAAGTTGAGTGGTTAAAGAAGCACAAAATAAGGTTCGAAATCAATAGTTAGTTAAGATGACACACTCTCGATAAACTCAAAAGAAAATAAGTTGGATAAGTTATAGACAAGGAGACAATCAGACAACCAAATGACCTAAAAGAAATATAAATGAGAGAACAATATGAATATATTGACCTTAGAGTCAGGAGCTGGAGCTACCAAGATCAAAATCCATCGTGTAATCATATTCTATGGTCGTGATATTACCAGGACCAGGTGGGGCACTAGGAGACGATATTATCTCCGGCGAGAATAAACTCACAGACGCTAAGAACGCCTTTCTCTTTAAACGCGGAGACAGTGCGGGCGCTCGTGATTCGTTCGACCGTTTCTTGAACACCTCGTGAAGTTTCTGCATTAGCACCATCTGCCATACCGCGAATTTGAAATGACGGGACCCGGGAGCTGTGCCGGACAGGTTGATCGGAGGCCGGAGGATTAACTGAAATCAGTTTGTTGCGCGTGAGGGATTTGAGTGAGATAAGTTAGGGTGTGATTGTTTATGAATTCTACAGTAAATATCTCACTCAAAACTCAAACTTAACTCAATTTTAACTCAACTCCACTATCTCCAATATTATCAATATAATTAAATAATATCAATTAATCATTATTATACATCACATCAACTTTAATTTACTATACATCCACTCACATAATTTTAACTAACCATCACATCCAATCATTTTCTCCTACTTTTATATCAAATCAACTTTAATTATTTTAATTTAAATATTATTTTAATATATCCACTAACAACTAACCATTCTATTTTTTTCAAACTTAACTATAGTTCAAAAAAAGCTAGTTTTTTACTAGTTGAATTCATATCCAATCACCCCCTTATGTTTGGTTGTGTGTTTGATGAGTGGGATGAGGATTTTGGTAAATAGGATTTTATTAACGTAATTTGATTGTTTTCAGTCAATCAAATTAATTAATCAAGTCCGACCCGTGGACCAAAATAATCCTTAATTACTTCATTAAATCAGTCGCAAAATATGAATTAGATAAGTTTGTTTATTTCTACTAGTATGAATCTCGTGTGATACACGGATAATATATATTCATTGATATTTATCAATAAAAATAGGCTCATTAAATAATATTTTTAAATTAAAAATATGAAATCAATATATAATACAATTTACTTATATTAATTTATTAAAATGATATTTAAAATTTAAATTGTGCAAAATACGTAAAACATGTTTATTTAAAATTAGCATACAGCCGTACTGAGCACGTAACTTATAATAAATTACATTATATTTATTTCACAATAAGTATCATTTTAAAATTTTTATTCAAAAATTCGATTTGACTACAATGTCGTTCTATAAAATAATTATTTTGGTAAAAACTTAATCATATATTTAAAAATATATATGAATATGAAGTATAATTATAAAACTTATATTGTTTCACTAATTAAAATAAAATGATTTTGTATAAACTATCCAAATTAAAAAATTTATGTAGTTGAGTAATCTATTACACTATAAATAATTGACTATTTCATTTATGTCTAAGTTAATATTAACCCGTAAGTTAAGATAATTACTTATTTTACTTTTAAACTTGGAACCTAAATTTGGACTACACAATAATTTTTCTTCTATATTTTATATATATGTAAAAATATATTATATCTCGTAATTTTTAGATTTTTTGTCGATTACTTTATTGTTCATATTTATCAACTAATTCTCTAAAATTAAATTACAAATTTTTAAACTTTATTAACTAATGTTTGCTCAAAGATCTTTCTGATTTTCAAGAAAAATACATACCAATTTGTCGAATTATCACCAATATCTAATGGCAAGCTATTACGAGAATATGCTAAAATTTGAAAATCATATCACCTTTATATTATAACAAATCAACCTAAATTCGACTTTCATCCTCATACCAAATAAAATTCACACCACTTATTTGTTTTCTAAATTTTAACTTCAAGCATTCATACCAAAATAAAATCACCAACTTTATATCATAAATTCAGATATTTATTAATAACAATACATTTGGCTACCAAAAATAAAAAGTCATAAGATAGCTCAAATAAATCCGTCCACTTTATAACAAAAGTGAATTTAATAATTTAATCAATTTTATCATAAATTGATTAATTAATTTCTAAAGGCGGGATTTCTTGAAAATTGTTTAAAAAAATTGTCAAGTTTAGTAATATTAAAAATTCGAGGCGATAATTTAATTTTTATTTCAAGTAAATATAAAACTTTATAAATATATAGCTTCGCACCTTTTTATTCTTTTCTAATCATTTTTTTATTATTATTATTATTTCAAACCTTTTTTCAATAATCTGACAATGAAAAATAAATTACCATATGTAGTTCATCTCTAAAAAACTTTTATCTGAATCTTACAGAGATTATCAACACAAATATTTTTATAAACTTATTTACTTATTTTCGTATATTACAGGAGAATTAAAAATCAACTTTTATTAACTAACCAAAAGATTATATTTTTAAAATACAATTTAAACAGTTTTTAACAAAACTTAGAAAATTCCATATTCTAATAGGTGGTTCGGTTTAGCTAGAGGCGAGGAGGTTTTATTGTACTTTTAGTATTAAAAGGTAGAAAAAAACACAACACTATAATTTTTGAGAACCTGGACATACCGAGGCTGGAAGCACTTGCGAGATAAAAAGCAGCACAATTTAATTTCATCGTTGGTTCCCTGAAATCTTGCTCGATTCACTCGAGTTCGACATAAAAAGATACGAATTAAAGTGACAATAAATTAGACGAGCAAACGGATGTGGAAAGAGCTAAAAAAATCAAAATAACAGATTGGTATATATGAACACTTAAAAATCAAATCGAATGACCAATCCCTAGCCACAAATAGGTAGCACAATCAAATTCTAGGCCCAACAAGAAATTGGATGATATCGGTAGCACGAGGGAGTAGTACACAAGGTCAAAATTAAAAGCATAAAGAAAAACAGGACCTTAAAGGAAAATATCAGTACATAGACAAAGATGATAAAGAATCTAATTGAATATCGAACTTCTTAGCCACAAATAAGTAGAGTACAACAAATTCAAAGCGACCAAGCCATCCCCAAGGTAGGGCAAAGAAATCGGATGAAACAACCAAATTCAACACGACCAAGTCATTCCCAAGGGAGGGCAAAGAAATCGGATGAAATATATTAATAGTGTAGGAGAATAGAAAAAAAGATGAAAGTCGAAAGGAAAAAAAAAAATGATTCATTAGTAGTGAAATATTAGGAAATAGACAAGAAAAATATGATGAAATGCCAAGTTGATGGAGGGCAACTTTCCATCAGAAGAATTAAGTGGAACTTTGACAGTTGAGATAATTAACGTAGCAAACATACTATAATGCACTTAGGCATCCAATTTCACAGATTAAATAATTGTACAGCAAATATTTGTACAACAGGAAGAAATTACAAACAACATAAGCAATTAACAAATAAAAGCATGTCATTGACGATAAACTACCGGTACATTGAAAAATCAAAACCTAATCGAATAAGTTATAACAAACCCCTTAGCCACAAACAGGCAGCACAGGCAAATTCAACACCTAAACCAAGTTGTTTGTTAACCAATGTAGGGCAGAAGAACATGAAGTTCCATATTGCAACCATAGGCGAGGGGAACAAAGAAAAAAAAAAAAGTGGAAGTTGTATTGTAGGTCTTCTGAAAAGAGTACACTGGAAACCTAAAACTCTAATCAAGTGTCAAATCCCATTAGCCACAAATAGGTAGAACAAGAAATATCAAAGCTCGAACAAGGTCGCCCCTAATGTGAGGAAAACAAATCCGATGAACACTATTGAGAGGGCAGGAGAATGAAATAAAAGATCAAAGTTGAAAGGATAAGGAAAAGAATATGTTATTGGTAAAAAATATTAGTAAATATACAACAAAAATCTAATCGTATGTCGAACCCCTTAGACACAAATCGATAGCACAAACATCTTAGCCACGACTAGGTAAAAACCAAGTCAATTCCCAGAGTAGGGAAAATAAATTGAATGAACCATATCTCGAAAGCACAAAAGGATTGAATAAAATAAAATTAGAAGGATAAGGAGAAAATAAGATGAATGGTATGAAAATACACATGCTTAACAAAACTTAGTAAAACTAGTCCAATCTTTAGCCACAAATAGGTAGCACAGCCGACTTAAAATCCTGAACCAAGTCATTCACCAATGTAAAGCAAAAAACTCGGATGAACCAGAGAATAAAAGAAATGGAAGTTTAACATGAATAC